GGGCCTGATTCCGGCCCTGGTCCTAGCTGTGTACCTGGCCACAAAGCGGACAACAGCACAAAAAACACATCAGTAAATAAATAAATAAGAAATCAACTTAAAGTTGAAGTCTTTCCGATGCAGGCCTAAGTGAAATGGCCGTAGGGCCTCCAGGTTGCGGTGACGCGACCTGGGGGCCCTTATCCAACCTCGGGTCCCGTGAGGGGCCCGTGTGGAGGCTCTCAGCATGTAACAATCGGTCTGTCCATCCTTCGTCAACGTTATGGATGGTTCGCCGAAGAATTGTATTTTGTCTAGGGTTGGGGTATGGAATGGTCGTGCTGATTCTTTTTATTTTTTCCTCTGTTTTTTTTTTCTTGTTTTCAATTCCTTTTTTTCCAACTTCGTAAAACTTCAAATAGACATCATTGGCATGGTCTTGCTAATGGCTGTGCTGATTATTGTAATGGAACTACTTGATAAGGGAGGCAAGTACTATCATACTATGATGATGGTGATGATAAAAGTGTGATCACAATGCTGATGCTGGTGATGTAATGATGATGGATGAATAGAGCAGACGGTCAGCTGACGCTGAAGTGACCCCTGTTATATTCGGTGACGTTCATGGAGTTGATCTGCAGTTGAGCCGCATAGGAATGAGAAAGTAAGGAAGAAAAACTCGATTGCGTTGTGCACCTTCATGCAACCTTCTGTGATCATCTGTAAACCTTCTGAACTGAGTCTGGATGTAAATAAGGGTATATACTTCCACTGGGACTTTCGGAATTGAATCTGGTATCTGGATGTTATTGCGGTATGCGGTCTGGGGTAATAAAATGGGAAAGGTTTAGTCCTGAGGCCTGGGAAGGAAGTCAAAAACAGTGGAAAGGGGAAAGCTGGCAATAAAATGTATAGTCATGTATACGTAATTTTGTGTATGGTTGTTGTATAATATGTATAATATTGTATATATAATTGCATAGAATTGGATTTGTATGTTATATTTTGAAATGTGAAATTACATTATTAAAGTTAATTCTTAATATGGTAATGTACCTTCATCAGTCTTTTGCCTAAGAATCCCTAAGATTGTGTCGTATGTGGTCTGATCAGTTTCAGTTTAAACTGCAATGTAAGTTCCATGGTCCATGGCCTAACACCGTACAGTGCTGATGGCCAGGATGCTACCGTCTTCATCCGAATAGAATGCCCGGTCATCTTGGCTGCATCTGGTCTGAAGGTTGCCTCAAATACATCTATAATGGCCAGGCGTTCTATGTGGGTGAAGACGGTAGGGATGTACTGGGTGCAGTAGGTGTGCCAGCCATGCCGGTAGCCAAGTTTGCTACCTGGGTTGGGTTGTATGGGGGTATGCTGGGGGCTATATTGGGCTATATTGCGGGGCTGTTTTTTTCCCCATTTTCTCTCACCTTCCCCTCCCTAAGTTGGTGTGATATGTGATACATGTGACTGATGTATCGTGTGGCTGTTTTGGATGGATCTGTGGCTCGTAATCAGCTTCAAGAAGTAGTGAAGGACACTCTTTTGAGGAATGACGTCGCTGCTGTATACGCTACACCAAGCACGCTTTACCATGTGGTGAGTAGTATGGTTTCTGAGCTGCCATGCCTTTTGAAAAGTATTGGGGGGAGTGAAAAAATGCGTCCTCTTTGCGGCTCCTTGGGGCCACAACCGCTTTGGAAAACTGATGACTCGACTTTGCCCAACTGATTCGAGATCTGGCCAGGGCACAATTTCTGTTGTCTAGCAGGGCAGGCGAAGTGGCTTAGCACTGCCGGTTCAGCTTTTTGCCAGGAACTACCGTCTTCACCCGAACAGAATGCCCAGCCTACTCCAGTCCTGGCGAGGGCACATAGAAGCTGTTTTTGGTGCATGATAATGACCGGCGTTCTATTCGGGTGAAGGCAGTCAGCAACCATCCGGTCGACCCGGTACTCTGACCAACTGTTAAACGACCAGTACTTCTGAGCCACTTTTTCCCCGGTGCTGGAAGTGCCCTGTGCCTACTTATAGCTGGCGCTGCCAGCCATTTCGCTCGCGGAGGCGGATTCCTGAAACTTGCGCTGCCAGCCATTTCGCTCGGGACTACTTACAGCTGGCGCTGCCAGCCATTTCGCTCCCGTAGGCGGATTCCTGAAACTTGCGGTGGCATGTGCACCATATCGGAGGAAAATGGCTTTGGAATGGACTGTGATGGCTTCCATGGATGTCAGCAGCAGTGGTTCGGGAGAGTGCGGGTGTGCGGGGGCGAACTGATGAAAGGTGGGTGGGTGGGTGGTGTCTCGTCAGGGGTAAAGACCAAACAGAGAGAAAGGAAACTGAAAATAGCGAGCAAGTGAAAAATAAAGCAGGAGCAAAGTGCCCTTCCTCATAAATTAGAGGGCCCCTGCAGAGAATCCGAGGGGTCCTTCCAGTACATCAGCAAGGTCCCACCCTCAAGTAGAGACAGGCACAGAATTTGCAGAAGAGTGGGAGCGGGCCAAAGAATATATGGTCTGCATTCGAATTCAGGTCCGTGTTTCAGCAGTTATGGGTCAGGGTCATGAACTTAGCTATGCCCTGTTGGTCTCTGCATGTGATTCTCAGGACTCGCCAAATGTGTAAAACTAGAATGAATCTTCCTCTAGAACATGGAACCATACGCCGCCATGTTTTGTCTTTTGTGCAGGTGGTGGTGAGTAGTATTCGTAAGCAAATTGACTTGCCGGGGGAAAGGAACCGGACTGTTGCTCCCCAGAATGGTAGGAGCCAGAACCAGGAGGTTCTGTTTATTAAAAAAAAAAAAAAAAAGAGAGAGAGAGAGAATCACGTGCAGAGACCAGCAGGGCTTAGCTGAGTTCGTTACCCATAACTGCTGAAACACAGACCTGAATTCCAATCCAGATGATATATTCTTGGGACCTCGTTCGACACCACTTGAACTCAAGGAAGGCTTGAAGGAAAATTCTTTGTTCCACCCCTCCCTAATGACACCGCGCATCCTTGAAACTCGATTGCGGCTGTGGCAAATCGCACTTGAACTCGAAGGTACCTACCTCCCGCAGAGGTACCTTGAGTTTGACTGCGAACGGATACCGCAGAGCACTTCGACTGGGGCCTTTTTTTGTTTTTCCTTTTTTTTCTTCAGCAGGCATTCTGGTCCGGGATTGGTCAAGCTGTGCGTGGGTTTCGGTTTCAAGTGCAGCTTGCTCAAAGGTTTCCTCGAGTGCACGTGAAACCGTAAATGGAGTTAGTGTAAAGTAATCTCAATTTCTCGTTTAGGGTGTATTTTCAATTGGTGTCGAATGGGGCACTCGGCCTGCTCGCGCCGTTCTCACTCTTTGACGACGTACTCTGCGTGGAGAATGCTTTTGCAGGAGCCTCTCTGCGAAAAGCCTGAATCCAATTAGGATATGCACGAACCCACACACACACACACACACACACATGCACAAACAGTTTGTGGGCACTGCCAGACGGGCGCTGAGAGGAGAGGGCACTGCGGTTGCAGTGGGCGCACTGTGGCCATAGCCGGGCAGCACGTGCGGATGCAGGTGATGCCGATGGTGGTCTTCGGGTAGGAGGTGCATGCAGAGGGGTTTAAGGTGTGATGAGGGGAGAAGTGAGGACGTACCTGGTGTATGCTGGTGGTCGGCATTGATGTCACATACATTGGTGTTCCAGTTCAATGCCATCCAGTCGCATGAACGTCGACAGGATAGATAGGGTGAGTAGTGTAGGCTGAGCGCTGGGTGGCAGACAGTAGGAGCCACATTGGATGCAGTGTTGGTGTGACCACAGAGTGTCGGCATCGGCACTAGAGTTCATTGTATTGGGGTCTTAATTGGATGGAGTATTGGTGCATTGTTGTGCTCTCTGCTTGGTACATGACTGTCTGGGCGAGTTTGTGATTTTGCAACTCGAATTTTATGAAAGAGTTTCGGGAGCAAGAATGCATGCTAGTTATATACGACCAGGTGGAGTTGCACAAGATTTACCCTTGCAATGGGGTGCCCACATCAACTGCGTGCGCACACGCGAGCATGCGCTATGCGTCGTACGTGCGGAACTCGTGCACACGTGATGCGCCGCACGTGCGCAACTTGTGCACAGGTGATGCACAGGTTGTTGTATTTTCATGGAGATGTATCTGGTGCATTTCCAATTGCAGTTCATGCATCTGGCTGTACACATGTCCACGTGGTTTGTGGAAGGTTTCAGAAACCTGAGTGGGGTATTTGTGTACTCCCATGAATGTTTGATCGCAGAACAAAAAACTTTATCAAACTTCGTTCGCGATTGGGTGTAATCCTACCCAACCGTGTCTGAGGCCCAACTTGTTCTAGAAGAATTCTCACTTCTTTGTTTTAAACCACTAGTACCTTTGCCGAGTGGGAAAGTAGTGGGCATCCCGTGGGCCGCTGGCCTTTTAGGAGGCCGAAGCGAAAGGACAGCCGCCGATCAGATTTATCAATGGCAGCCGTTGTTGGTCGTGGCCTCCGATTTTTTGGAGTTTGGGAGAACTGCCAGTTTTCCGTATTTTCCCAACACTAGCGGAGGTACTATTTGTTTAAACAAAATGTCAAATCAATTAAGAGCTGGGAAACGGGCCCGGTGTTCCTACGACAATGGCTGCAGCTCTGGGAATGAGCACGACCCTCTCTGCGAACTTACACCCTGACGAAAACTCTCTCAATTTTATGTCCGAGGCCTGACTTGTTGTAGAAGACGCTACGACGAAGAAGCTCCCTTCCCACGAGTTCAGACGAGCCTACGACGAAGAAGCGCCTACCTTTCAAGGCTTGGAAGTCTGCAACTGCGCCTTTTTTTTCTTTTTTGTTTCTTTCCAAAGTGGCCTGCATGCCACCTTTAATAATGGGCCCGGGCCTGAGTCAAAAAGCTTTTATCGTGTGTACCTGTAAGAGAAGCAGTCCTTAGCTCCCCATGAACTGTTGGTTTATTTTGCTTGATGTGTTTTTTGGGGGTGTTTCGGTGTGAACTGTTTTTTTTTTTTTTTTTTTTTTTTTTTTCTCCTTCTCAATAAAACAGAACCTCTTGGTTCTGGCTCCTGCCATTCTGGAGAACGACAGACCGGTTCCTATTCCACCGGCAAGTCAGAAGTAATACATGGGATGTGTTTTTTTTGGGTGTTTCGGAGTGAACTGTTGGTTTATTTCGCTTGATGACAGTTGATGTGTTTTTTTTTGGGTGTTTCGGAGTGAACTGTTGGGTTATTTCGCTTGATGGGTGTTTCGGAGTGAACTGGTCGTTTATTTTGCTTGATGTGTTTTTTTTGGGTGTTTCGGAAATTCGGAGGGAACTGTTGGTTTATTTTGCTTGATGCGTTTTTTTTGGGTGTTTCGGAGTGAACTGTTGGTTTATGTCGTTTGATGTGTTGTTTTTGGGTTTTTCGGAGTGAACTGTTGGTTTATTTGAATTATTTCCCTTGATGTGTTTGGGTGTTTTGGAGTGGTAGTAGCTGTTTCATGCACGTGCTTGTGGTGATCATAATTGCTGCCTTTTCAGCCCAGTGGGGTGGTCCATTAAACTCCAGGCAATTAACTTTTTTTTCTGTAATGCTTTTGTTGTGTGCAGGCTACAATGTTTCTGATGATTCCGGTGTTGATGGTTCTCCTCGTCTTCGTCCCATTGTTCGGGTCAGTGAGGAATCATGCCGTTGCTTCTTTGTCAAATTTTATTTCTTTAGTAAAGTTTATTTTGGTCATCGGGTTGCATGTGGCCCCGAACTTAGAGGGCTGTATTTCAACAGTTAATGGGTGTACCAACTGAGCTAGACGTGTTGGTCCCTTGCTTGTCTTCGGTTGTGCCTCAGACCTATAGATTCATTGTCTTCTTTTTTTTTTTTTTTTTGGAACAAGGCTTCATTGTCATTCTCTCACGGTCTCTGTGATGTTAACGAATGGCAACAGGTTGCTTCTCATCCCACTTTTTTTTTTTTTTTTTTTAACCACGCTACCTCGCCAGCTGTTGGAAAAATGCCAAAATCGCGAGTCTTTCAATACTCGAGAAAAACGGCGCCAGTGCGTGACGACGGCTGCGGGTGATAAATCTCATCGGCGGCCGTTGTTTCAGTTCGGCCTCCTAAAAGATTTGGAGGCCCACTGGAGGCTGAACTTTTAGGAAAAATGCCAAAATCGCGAGTCTTTCCATTCTCTCAGGGCATGCTCACACTAGCACCGTTCCGGCCGGCCTTGGATGCGTCTGGCTGCAATCGCGTCCGGAGCTGGATGCATATGGCTACAATCACGTCCGAAAAAAACACAGTGCGAGTTATGTCCTCCCTCCCTGGGGTCATGTGAATGTGAAAAATTGAAAATGGATGAGGATTGCGTATCGTCTTCACACTGTCTGGCTGGCCATTATAGCCCCGCATTTGGACCAACTTTCAGTCTAGGAACAGTGATAATGACCAGGGGCGCTATTTGAGTGGAAACGGTAGCGGGCCAGCTTTTCATTCACAAGATGGCCTTAATACATGAGATGGCCTGTCCTCGCGGGCTGCCTGCTCATTCATTCCCCTTTCGCTAAGATTTTGGACATGGTTCTTGTGAGATGTCGGAGGGGCCCGTCGTGTTCTTCGACCCTTTCTGGGATCACCTGTGTGCTAATAATAACAGAAGTGTGAGCTCAAAGAATGAGGACTTTCCTGGGTGTATCTGACCTATTCTAGGGACAGATCTGGATGCATCTGTGAACAATTTCGTCCACAGAGAAGTTGAAAAAGTCTTACTTTCGTCACCCGAATAGAATGCTGGGTCAAAATAGCTGTATTTGGCCAACTTTCAGTCTAAATACAGCGATAATGACCAGGCGTTCTGTTCAGGCGAAGACGGTAGTGAGTATGTCGCTGACTCGCCTTCATTTGACATCTCAAACTTGGTCGGATACACTGTACATTGCGAAATGTTGGAATGGATGTGTGCACATTGTAGATTGTTGAAATGTTTTTTTCAAGATTTGAATCGCTGTCGGTGGAGATTAGGAACTTGGAGGCTGAGCTTGCTGTGAAATGGACCGCTCTGCTACTCAACATTCCACATGCATTTGGACGCCTTACTGGAACAGGTGCATTTTGAGGATTCCAACATTTTGAATGTATCGGGATGACTATGAGCTCCAGATACATATAGAGTGTTGTCTAGTGAAGAGGACCTTTATTTCACCGCAATTCTGCAGTTGTAGTGCCATATGCGAGAACTGAAAGTGTTTTAGTGGCTGCATGAAATGTCAAAGTTATAGTGAGCTACAGTACATGCAATGATGTACCCATCTTCACGTCTGCAGCAGAATAGAACGCCTGGTTATTATATCGGTATGTAGACCGAAAATTGCCCCAAATATATTGTTATAATGACCAAGTGTTCTATTCGGGTGAAGACGGTAGAACTATTCAAAGGCAGCAACATGCTGTAAACTACCGTCTGCACCCGAATAGAACACCCGGTGATTATTGCCGTATTTGGACTGAAAGTTGCACGGAATACAGCGATAATAATAATAACCCGGCGTTCTATTTGGGTGAAGACGGTAGGATTAGGAGTTTTATTTTCCAGAACTTTCTTTACCCGTGGTATGGCCCACTTGTCCTCCATTTCATCAAGGGTTTCATTGAGAGCGTGAGGTCGCCCAGGTTTGTGTAGCTGTGCTCTACTGAGTGTGTGTGTCTGTGTGTGTGTGTGTGTGTGTGTGTGTGTGTGTGTGTGTGTGTGTGTGTGTGTGATGAAGGAATGTGTGTGTCTGTTTGTGTGTGCATGTGTGTGTGATGGAGTGTTTGTCTGTTTGTGTGTGCCTGACGATCTCATCAATAGTCATCTGAGTCTGTGTGGTGTTTCATAGGACTTTCGTGGACTGATCAGGAGGTTGTGTGTTTTGAATTGTCACCACAACAGACCCCGTTCCAACCGGACGAGTAGATCCACATTGCAGACAATGAAAACACTCGATTTGAGACAATTTGTATGTGTGGGATGATGATGACACGTGTTTGCGTGTACCTGATTCCACCCGGATGAGTAGATCCAAAGTTGAAGAAGTGCAAGTCCTATTGCAGACAATGAAAACACTCGATTTGAGACAATTTGTATGTGTGGGATGATGATGACGCGTGTTTGTGTGTGTACCTGACCTGTACTGCCGTCAATGTTCATTTCGGTGGGCGTGTGTGTCTGTGTGTGTGTGTGTGTGTACACTTGGGTGGGCATTAGGGCAGACAGAAAGTTGTGTTTTTTTCGCAAGTCAGGATTTGTGTGACGGACTGAAGCAGATGTTTTGTAGCACAGGTTTTGGATTCAAAATGGACTGGTTATTCAGTTGATGTGCCCCGGAAGGGGGAAGAGCTCGCATAAGAAGAAGAAAGTTTGATTTAGGAGGGGGTAAAAAAAAGACAGGGTGGTCTATGGGCCTCGCTGCACTGCTCTCGAAATGTGCAAAACGAGAGTGAATCTTCGCTAGAAACATGGCGAGACACGCCCCCATGATTTGTCTTTTGTGCATGTCGAGAGTAGTGTAGCGATGCCCTATGTATGGCGGGTGTGGATGTTGATCTATAGGTTTGCTGGTGTGTTGGCTTGACAGCGGGAAGAAGAAACAAGGGCCGAGGACGCCAGATAGAAGTCATCCGAAGAAGAAGAAGAAATCAAGCGACAAGTCCTCGAAACGGTCTGAAAAAGTCGACAAGCAATCTGACAAATCGGCGAAGTGAAAAACTCCTGCAGATTGGGAATGGAGTATAACATCGTCATCAACCGCAGTGTCACGAAGATACAGCAAGAAAGAGAAGGGGCCGATAATTGGGCGACTCACCCGCTCATTAGTTGTCGGATGTTGTGGCATCGCGTAGGGAGAGATTTTGTGGAGGTCTAGTTGTATAAATGTAAATCTCACGAGTGGGGTAGGCCAGCGCTCCTTTCTCTACGGAAGACTGACAGTTTTCAGGTCCTGAAGAACGTCCGCTGTTGCGATGGTCTTTGCCGTCGTGCCTGTTTCGTGAGCAGTGCCTGGATTTGTCGACCTGCGAGGAGCGAGGGTGTGTACGGGGGGGGTGTGTGATAACCGCCCCTGCGTTATCCCTCTCGCCTCTGCGGTCCGAGAGTCTGAGACCTGGTACGACTGTTCATCCAGTTTCTGTCTTCTGTTACCTGACACACAATTTTCCTAAATGTACCTGACCGCAATTGCGGCCTGACTAAATGTATCTGACCTCAGTTACGGTCAGGTCTGTTTTCTGTTCCCGCTGAACCCATCTTCAGGACCAGGTCTGCTTTCTGTACCTGCTGTGTGCAGTCTGTTCATGCATTATCTCAATTTATGTCTTCTTTCTCCTGACACTAGCACTTTTCCTACGAGTACCTGATCAGCTCGACTGAATGTATCTGACTGCAATTGCGGTCAGGTCTGTTTACTGCTCCTGCTGAATCCATCTTGAGGACCAGGTCTGCTTTCTGTACCTGCTGTGGGCATCTCCAGGGCCAATTCTGTTTTCTGGGTCAGGTATCTATTTTGTTATGTTCTCTGGCAATTGGGACCCGGGTTCGCCAAGAAGGCAGGCAGCAGCAATGTCATACATACTTGATCCCTGTGTTCTAAATGTACCTGACCGCAGCCCGACTAAGGTAGGTATCCGACCGCAATTACGTTCAGGTGGTACATACCTAATCTCTGTTTTCGGAGTGCAGAGACGACGGTTGGACTGCTGATAGCGGTGGATGATATACGTTGGAGGATGCTACCGCAGGAGTGTGTGCTGCTGAAAATTGCTGGCGAGGAATTGAGTTACGTGGGAGTGGGGAAGACTTGTGTTTTTGGAGGGATTTGAAATCCCGCATCGCTGGTGTTTGTGGAGTGAGCCCGATTCCGACGGACAGTGCATTTGGATTATGCGCGGCTGAAATTGCTGTCGGCAGAGGTGAGTTGTATGGGAGTGGAAAAGGTGTATTTGTGGAGGTGGATTATGTGCTCCCTGTTGGGATTGCTGCGTGTGTGGATGCAGTGTGATTGCAATTTGAAAGGACAGCGCAGGTGGATTATGTGCTCTGCCTGTTTGAAATGCTGCGGCGAGGGGCGCGAGTGAAATGTGGAGTGGAAAAGAATTGTTGTATTTGTGGAGGACTTTCAAGTTAAATAGCCAGTGTGGGTGTTGGCGGTGTGATTGCAAGTGGAACGGACTGCGCAGGTGGATTATGTGCTTCCTGTTTGAATTGCTGCGTCGAGGGACGCGAGTGACATGATAGTGGAAAGGAATTGTATTCGTCGAGGAACTTCAAGCTTGACGGGATGGGTGGTGCTGGTATTTGTGAAGGGAGGGGTTGCCATTTCTACGGACAGCAAAGGTGGATTGTGGCCACTGTACATAAGAGCAGCAAGATCTTTTGGAGAGCCGCTTCCAGGTAGGACATGACACTGCACAGATGCGTAAGGCTTGACGGGTTCTGATACTTGCCCCAATTCCCCCAGCCCCAAGTTTGGGGTGGGCAGACAACACAGCTGGTGTGGCATCGTTGTGTAGAGATTTAGAACACGGCACGATTCTTTTGTGATTGCCCTGTTTTGAGGTCATTGGCTGTATTTTGTTGGTGGAAATGGACATCTCTACTCCCGAGCACTTTCGTTGAGCTCATGTGCCAGCCATCGCATCGGGTGTTGTAAGTGTGTCGCTTGTTTTCTGAGCTCTGTCGATGTTCGCTGTGTAACCGTGTCGTCCTTGTGCACCTTCATGGCCGCTCCTCCTTGTCCTCGGCCTTCGTCTTCTTTCTCCTCATGGCAGCTCCTCCTTGCCCTGGGCCTTCATCTCTCCGCCCCCCGTCTTCTGTGCACAACCATGTGCACAACAGTGCAAACATCCTCCGGGCGTCCTTGTGTGCGAGCAGGTGCAGGTTACCGCTGGTACGATTGATGCTGAGGTTGCGGTTTTTATTCTGTGCTGTACCCTTGGCACCACTTGCACATACGTACACTTTGGCGGCTTTGTGGCACCGTTCGTCGCCTGCCCCGCAAAGTTGTTTTCAAGAGGAGAGTATGGGTCTGTTGCTTTTTTTCTTTGAAGTCCGTTGCTTTTCGCTTTACTGTGGGTTAAGTTGAACTTAGTTTTTTTTTGTTTTCCTCTTTTTTTTTCCTCTTTTTTTTCTGTTTTTTTTTCTTTAGCGCTTTCCCACCAGACCTGTCCTTTTCTTGCGTCATTGAACTAGGTGTATTGTTTCGTCGGACACGGTGGGTGAGCGATCGCCGAGCAGTTGTTACGGTTAGTGTTTGTTCAATTGACATTTTCCACACACTCTCTCTCGAAACTCGCGACTGATTCTCTACACAGGAGTGGTTGGTACCTGCATGTGATGTTTCACCCTCATTCATTTGACATATTGTTGTGGACAAATCTGTCGGCACGTAGTTTTGAACGGAAACCTCTGCACAGGAGAGGTTTTCGTTCATGTGTCTTACCTTGATGTCGTTCTTTGGTAGGGGCTTTTTTTTTTTTTTTTTTTTTTTTTTTTTTTTTTTTTTTTCAGAGTAAAAAGGGTTAGCT